TAATGCAGGTTCAACTGTCTGAATATAAATGTATCAGCATCCAAATACGTATTGTTGGAATGCTAAAACAGCATTCCAACAATACGTGTCAGTGATTGTAGATTTCAGGGTCAATGGGAGCTGTTGCACTCATGTCGTGTGATGTGATGACTGTCCATGTGTTTGTTCAGATCCAACACCTCTGATCATCAAAGCGGTCGTCCTGACGCTGACTCTGCTGTTGGTGACCGTTGCCCTTTACTTCTACTGCAAGGTACTGACACATGTCTGTTGTTTAGACCAGCCACTGAAATGAAGCTTTCAGAACAGTCCTGTCTTCAGTTCACTAAACACGGACTGTCATGTCTCTCCAGGCCAGCAGGGGGCGGATGCCGTACAGACAGAAGAACACTGAGTTGGATCAGTTTTACCAGGGTGTTACTGCAGCTGAAGAAGAAGAAGGAGCTCAGGGAGCAGAGTAGCTCCTCCAAGGAGCTCATCTCACATCCAGATGGATTTCTACCATCACCAGCTCCCTTTTATACGCATGTTCCCTTAAACCAGAAGGCTGAATATGATATCACATTATTATAGCCTGTCTGTCTTACTCTCAACAATGTGTTGGTCTCTCCATACCTTCTGACTTCCTGTCTGTGGCTCTCAGCTCCAAGCCCATTGGTTCCTGCTGAAGACGTGAATGTTCAAAAACACCTCACAGATATAAAGTTTCTTAAAAGTAGACTTGAGAGCAGGTTTACCAGAGACCAAGCAGACACCAAAGACTATGAGGAACAATGTTAATGTGAGATATTAGAATAAACATGAAACATAGACTTCTATCTTCTACATTCTGTAGAACGATACTCAATGTTCATAATCTGTTGCTGTTTGTCCTTTAAAACATATAATGAGCTTCATGACTTCACTTTAGCGCTCCTTGTGGTTCACATGACTCTGTTATTGTAGTGAGCAACATTTAGCTAAAAGATAATCAGAATAATAGAAATGGGAGCAAAAATAAAAGGTTATTTTTGTGATTAAGAAATTTGGAAGTAAGGAGTTTGATTAAAAGTTGTAATTAAAGATTTTACTTATTTCGTAAGAATTTTACTTTTTTATTTTTGTTCATGACTTTTTCACATTATGAGAAGAGCAGGCAAGTAATAAAAAACAAGAAAACAAACAAATAAGAGGTTGTGGGATAGTTGGTAAATCAAACACTTCTTTGGCAACGTACTTTCAGGGTTATGAGATATTAAGTTATACTGTCTATCACAAATATATCTGATTATCCATATTTTTTTATACCTGCACAGTTTTACATCTTCGGGTTCTTATTTCTTGTGTGATTTTCTTTTTATACATATTTAATGAACGTTGTTTGAGGAAGCTGAGTTCTAAGATTTTTGTTGCCAACAACTGCTTCTCTGGAATTTATATGACAATAAATAAATCAAATTAAACTCTTAATTTTGATTTACCATCAGTATTTCCTGTTTTAATTGTTCCAAACTTTCCATTTATTTTTGTCTCTTTCTTTTTGGCAGAAGTTTGTCCTGGAAAGCTGAAGTCAACTTACAATAACCAAGAGAATATTAATTTGAACCTAATAGTTTATATCTATATCTAATTATATAGATATAAAGATATAAAGTTATAGATATAAAGTTCAAGGTTCTTTTTGTTGAATCTCTGCCTTGAACTTGTTACCTTTTTAAAATAAACTTATGTTTCATCCTATTTTTAGTTTCACTGTAAAACACATTTATTTAAATGTGCAAAAAGTCAATCTCAGGCCATTTCATGTAGAAGATTGAAATAGAAGATTTGCTTCACGTGACGCAAATGAGGAATGGAAGTCTCATGTCTGTTAAAACATATTTCCTCGTTTCCTCTCTCCTCGCATGGTTTCCTCCATGCATCTCTGGTGGGAGGGACTAAGACGCAAGGAAAGGACCCAAGTGAGGGAAACGGGGATGCAATTAAGAGACTTGGGATGTACTCTTGGACGGTTAGACGTTGAACTTACGTCAAAGCGTAAACTGTAACCATCCATCCATCCATCCATTATCCAAACCGCTTATCCTGTTCAGGGTCGCGGGGTGCTGGAGCCGATCCCAGCTGACATTGGGCGAAGGTAGGGTACACCCTGGACAGGTCGCCAGTTCATTGCAGGGCAAACTAACCATGACTCTTAAAGCGAGTCGACCACCACAGAAGTACGTGTTAAAACGCCCAACTTTACAACAGAAATAAACATTACAGTCTGGTATGAAAGCATGTTTTAATAGCTGATATCGCCGTTCATGAAAACTGTATGGGGATTAAGTTTTTACACATATAGTAGTTGACTACCTGGATGTAACTCCAGTTCTATGAGGACGTGCGGAGCCCTCTGACGAGAGGCGAAGCCCCGCCTCTTCCGGTTGACCACTATGGGACCTTACTTTTGTAAGAAAATATATATATGGAAGTCAACAGCAAAAAACAACGTTTGATCCCGTTTCAATTGTGCCATGAATTACACATAGTGGTTTATTAATTCATAAGATAGTTTCATGTCATAAAAGTCTGATTTTGTCATAAAACTTGCATTTTCTCTACTGACCAGCAGGGGGCGACTCCTCCGGTTGCAAAGAGAAGTCAGATTGTATAGAAGTCTATGAGAAAATGACTCTAATTCTCTCTTGATTTATTACCTCAGTAAACATTGTAAACATGAGTTTATGGTCTCAATCTCTAGTTTCAAGTCTTCTTCAACACAGCATGATGTTCATTTAGTAAATTATGGTCCTTTTCTCATAGACTTCTATACAATCTGACTTCTTTTTGCGACCAGAGGAGTCGCCCCCTGCTGGTCAGTAGAGAGAATGGTTCAACCGTAGAGGTTCTTGCTGAGAGTTAGATGGGAAGTAAGAACCAAAAAATGAACAGTATTTCCCACTGTCGAAAAACTGTCAAACTTTAAATGTGATGTGATGAATAATGGTCTTCCTGCTCGGGGCTTCATCAAAAACAGACAGTTTTAACCTTCCTTGAATGTTTCTAAAAACAGAGAATTTACCAGGAGATGTAATGCCATAGCTGACCTCTGTGGAACTATTTTAGTCTTTGACATAGATAGTCAGATCTGTGGCCAAAGTAGAAACCAGCAGATGGTCCAGCCACAGGGGGCCAATACAGGGATTTGTCGAATGGATACTCCTTCTGTTGCTTTTCTGTGCACATCTAATGGCTGAAGGCAGATCCAAAGGCACGGGGCCAGGTCTTGTTTGATGTTGCAGTGACAAGCAATTTTAAATATAAAATTGTGTGCATTTATAGCTTAGACGAGAACATTTTCTTCACTGTCACGCGCTTTCCTGCATCATTGCTGCACTATCTGTCATAGAGGTCATAAGACGGAAGTTTATTTTGAAAAGACTGTATGCATGTATCAAGTGTATATTGGTGTTGTGGCGCATTTGAATGAAAACGCATGAAAAATTAGGAATAACTTGTCGTAAGATGTACAAACCGTCATCGGAGGCTACGTTGCAAGGTTGGTGTGTGTTTGTATTTCTGAAATACCACATTTTTCCTAAAGATAATGATACTTTTACATCTTCAGATCACTAAAATGATTCCGTGTTCAAGGGAAACTAATCATTGTTTGGTTGTACTTGTAAGCCAAACTGGTTGTGAACCCCTGTTACAATGCATAACCTCTACATAATGTATTTTATTTTTTTGGACTGAACAAAACAGATAGCAGCTGGACTCCACACAAAAACATAAGAACAAGTGCATGTGTGGTTTCCAAACCTGAAATAATTCTCGACAGAAATAAAACTTACAAGGCAAATAAAGCCAGACATAGCCAACTTGTTATACAGGGGTGGACAGAAAAGCAGAAACACAATTACAAAGGCAATACAGTATCCATCTAGCAGCAATTTAAGCACCTAATGTCTATTTTTACTTCATAGAAATGGTGATTGAAGACATCAGTTAAAACTTATACATTTTGTTACCTAACAGCTCAATTTAAGTAGATCTCCATACAATATTCATTTCATTTGGTAAACTCTTATTCTTCATGTGTGTTGACTTTGATTGTAGAAAACAATTAACCAATTTCCATATTCTTTATATGATTATAACCAAAATACATTGTTCTTTTCAAAAAACGTATTGAAACTTCCTAGGGAATTATTTGGATATTATGCACCCGTAACATAAAGCATTAACATATAACCATGCTGAATCAACACCTTAACAAAAAAACAATATTAGAGGTGTTCTGGTGTCCTAATTAGAAACTATATATTAACAGCTTTTTCCATAACAGTATTTGCTGCCATAAGTGTTTCTGCTATTTTGTCCACCCCCTGCTCGCTGTACCACATGGTGATATACCAAATATACATACTGACACAAACCATGACATAAGGATACACCTCCATACTTTCGGCTCGTGACTAACCTGCTGTAGTTTGTCCGGAACTGGACTTCAGTCAGAAATCCGAGGGGGAAACCATCTGGACCAAACGGTTATTTCTATACATTCAGCAGGCTTTTCTCACACATCACAGGGGGATACACAGCGTGAAGATGGTAAAATCACATGACTACATATTATATTTTACTTACACTGAATACAGAAATTCACAAATCTTCTCTGTAAATTATGATTTGTTTTAAAGGTGGTTATCCGGTGATCAGGACATCCAGTAAAACAACATTACAATTTTTGGATAAAATAGCCATGTCTTTAATGTTTTCTCTGGATGTTCTTTTCTATACTTGAGCAAAATAGTACAGTATTGTTTTGAATAAGATGTAGTGTTTATGATTTATCTTGCCACACACATTATTAGTCTGAACTCTGCACACATTTCTTAGCGAGTTAAGATAAACAAAAGAAGTTCATACAATTATGTCAAGTGCTCTGTGTACGTTAAAGTACTACTTTGCCCCCTGGCAACCTGAAACATTATCTTTTCCAAGAAACCTGTTTGTGCTTGTGCAACATGATGTAGTTCTAAAACTAATACAGTACTTGCATAAAATATACAAAAAAATATAATGTATTTCTAAAAACAATGTAAAACAAAAAGCATCTAACTCAACCCATTTATGACCTTTGAGATGTATATGAGTTGTAAGCACCTCCTTGTTATCTTAGACTTGTATAGTTGCACTCTTCACACTTTTTATTGCAACTGTTGCACAGCAAATCTTATTTTTATGGTACTGCAATACTCACAGGACACGAATGCAGGACCTTTACTTGTAATAAAGTATTTTCACATTGCTGCACTGCTACTTTTATTGTGGTAAAGGCTCCTCTATGATGGATTTCTCACCGTAAATTTGTTGAACTGTAGTTAAAATTGATCAAATTCCTCGTAATAAAGGAACAAAAGTTTATATTTTGACAAAAAATTGTCAGAAATCTCATTTGCACCTGCCAGAAATAAACTTAACATAATGTCACGTCATGTCGCCTACTGACAAATATCACAACTTGACACCAAAATAGGCCCAGAAATACAACAATTGGTATTTGAGGGTGGATCTTTTTTTTCTCTTCCATCAATCGGAGAGACAAAGTCTATTGTGGCATAATTATCTGTGATTGACAACCAGTTTGTCAACCATTGTCAAAACACAGAAAACCTCTTGCCATCTGCCACTCCAAACTGCTCCCATAAGTAGTTTGCATCTGCTGAAGGATCCAGATGTGATTTGTACAGCTCTGCACACTTCTTGTCTGAATAGCTCATGTGTTATGTTCGACAGTCAAGACTTCTGTGACGCATCATCGTCCTCCAGCTCAAATGAGCAGAGTGGAAAAACGGAAAATTCGTACACAAAACCAATGAATTACATTTTGTGACCCTTTCACGACCTGCCATGACACTGGGCTGGATAATTTCTGGTTTAAGTGGGAGCTTTGTGCAACCACTATCATTTGACAAACACCAGTTTATTCATCCATCCAGCACTTCAGTACAGCTTCTCTGCTGGTTGCCTGCAACTGTATTCAGTTTGAATACAAATTAAAGAACTAGTTAAACATTTTGGTGGATATGCTCATGTCTGTATGCGAAATAAGAAGCTGGAGTCAGCAGCTGGTTAGCTTAGCTTAGCATAAAGACTGAAAACGGTGGAAAACATCTAGCCTGGCTCTGTCCAATCAAACTGGCTCGCTCCAGCTAACTATTTAATAAGATATTTGCCGTAGAAAGTCAGAGTCAGGCTTGAGGAGGAACGGATACGGAGTTATGTAATTAGGATACAAAAAAAGGTAACTGTATTCTGTAACAGTTATAGAATAAAAGTTTCTAAATATACCATTTAACAGAACGAACAATACACTACCTTATTAATGCGGACACATTACAACACTTTACGCCACAAGTCTCACACAATGGCCTCAAACGTTTTTAACGGAGTGGGTGGGTCCCAAAGGATATGAAAAGACAATACCAGCCACAGCCTGTTCACCCTGCTGCCGTCTGGCAAGAGATACAGAAGTGTCAGCTGCCGTACCACCAGACGTCAGAGCAGCTTCTGAAGGCTGAGACTCCTAAATTCCTCCTCCCTCCCTCATATATACTTTTGTTTTTGTGTGTTTGTCTTATGAAGCAATATGGGACTACATACTGCATTTCGTTGCACAACCCTGTTGAGAATAAATGAGCCTTGTAACCGTGTGAATGTTGCCATTACTTTGTGTGTGAAGCAGAGAAGGGTACAGTACAATGAGAGTTATCTCAAAGCAGGATCGTTTGCACACTTTTCCAGTTCATTCAGATTGTTCTTGTTTGCCAAGAGGCATCCCAGCGTGAAAGGACTATTCGTAGGAAGCGAATGAACCGCTTCAACCTTTTGGTCAAGCAAACATGATACAGCGCAAACAGGGAAATTAGCATGCAGGTTAATATAATTCAATGTAATTTACATGTGTGCTGCTGCTGCGCCGAGTTAAAATCCGGCAACACTAATGTGCCAAATGATTCGAGTCCTTGGATGATGAGAGCATTTTCACAGCTGGGGGGCAGAACTTGCACTGTACTGTGACCTTGTTCCCTTTATTCTGCTATGCATACAAAATAAGGGTGGAATTTAAGTATTCAAGTTACATTACTTTATGATACTTGCTTTAGGTCACAGGCTACATATTTTAGCATACAGACGTGAGAGTATTGATCTTCTCATCTGACAAGGAAGTAAATAAGCATGTTTCCCAAAATGTTGCACTGTTCCTTTAAACAATCAATATGCAGCATGTTAATATGCGAGTAGAGTTTTACCTTTGGTCAGAGCCAGGTTAGCTGGTTTCCTTGCTACCTGCTATTCTAAGCTAAGCTAATCACCTCCGAGCTCCAGACGCATATTTTCCAAAATGTTTAACTATTCCTTTAATAGTGTACTTCACAAGTACCTGGATGATTGTTGTGAATTTACTGCACTCTGGTTCCTGAAGGACTGATGGAAGCATCACAATAGAAACACCATGAAGCAGACCACTACCGGCTCCAAACTGACTTCTGAACCACCCGTCAGCTACAGGAGTGGAGAAATTAACAGAAACACCAATGACCCTGCAGTGAATACCACGTTCGTCAAGATAACAGTTTTTGTTGAAGCCGTCAGAGTTGTTGATTTAGCCCGATGATCTTCTTTAAGAGCTTAGTCGTGTTGTTAAACAAGTCCAGTTCAGTGCGTTTCAGTCAGTGACGGTGAGGATCTACTTGTGTTAATGCACTTTTACTACGTTAGAGATATGTCATCGTGATTTTCTTTTTTTTTTATTTCCACGTTACATAACACTGCAGAGTTTATGACTGACGCTCCAGCAGTTTGGGTCGAGAGCTCTGAAAATCACAATAGAGGCGGCTACACAGAAGTAATGAGTCATATTGAGTTATCAGTGTGTGTGTGTGTGTGTGTGTGTGTGTCAGCTTTAGTACAGTTCTGACAATCACGATTTGTTTGAATAAGGTTTTAGGGCAACATGAGGTGACTAGAAACCAGAAAGTTGTCTGAAATTGTGCAGCCTCAGTCACAAATACGACGAAGGAAAACTATAACTTTAAGGAATAACCCCTGACTTAAATCAGCACCTCTGGAATGATTAACAAAAACAGTAAATTGGAAGCTACCGCAGAGCTGAGCTGTTTTATCTCGCCATTTCGTTGTTAACTCGACCTGAACATTTTCCCAGCAGCACCTGCATTGCCGCTCTGCTGTTCACCTTTGACATGTGCACAACCTCATGCACTGCAACGTGTTCAGATGACTTCTTACACAATTAGACCTCAAGTCAAAATATTGCATTTCTTAAAACACATTTTTGAGTAAGTCTTTGCTGTTTACAGTACTGTATGCTTTTCCCCTTCTGTGTGTCCTACTGTTTACTGGGATTATAGCACCACAAACATCTCAAACATGTCTATGTTGCGAGGACTGCCAAGTATCTGTTGTCCCCTCGGCACTATAGACGCACTGTGCTGTACTAAAATGTGCTGCGCTGAAAGGCTAGACGGAGCTGCGTCTCTTGAACATCCTGAATGGGGAGAGAATGTGTAGGCCCGTTGTTATGGAGCTTATGCTCGAACACTGTCGAGGACTGCAGACGCAGCCTGTTGAGCCGGTCTCCATGTAGTGAGGACAGTTACTGTAGGCATCGGAGAACGTCAGCTCCTGAGGGATCATGGTGGGTACGGAGCCCTGCAGCTTCTCCTTGCTGCGGTACCACAAGCAGGAGCATATAGTCTGGAAATGCAGCACCTCGGTGTAGACACCTTTTAAATCTTTAGCCTTGGCGGAGTCGTCTGCTACAGGTGTGGAGGAGGTCGAGGCTGAGACCGGCAGTAAGCGAGCCACCTCTCCTCTGGACATCAGGGCCCTCTGCTTGGCGTCCCTGCGCTCGTCCTCGGTGTTCATGGTCAGGAAGCGAAGCACCACCAGGTTCAGGAACGCTCCGACCACCGTCAGGCCCGTCAGGATGTAGACAAAGCAGAAGGCCACGTACCGGGGGTCTTTCTGCAGCGTGTCGTCCCGCTGCAGAGCCACGTAGTCTCCGAACCCGATGGTGGTGAGCGTGATGAAGCAGTAGTAGAAGGCGTTGAGGAAGCTCCATCCCTCGCAGTGGGAGAACGCCACGGCCCCAACGCACAGCGTGCTCATGCAAGAGAAGAAGCCCACTGTCACCATGTTCGCCATGGAGACCTCGGTGTGACGCATCGCCAGGCACTTCTTGGCTTGGTGCAGCAGGTACCTGACGAACGTGTTGATCCGCTCGCCCAGGCTCTGGAACATGACCAGGGTGAGCGGGATCCCCAGGAGGGCGTAGAACATGCAGAACACCTTCCCCGAGTCGGTGCTGGGCGCCGCATGGCCGTAACCTGAGGGAGCAGACGTCAGAGTTTTACACCTCAGCACACGTGATGCAGAGAGGCAGTTTGACCTCAAGCTCCTTTGATAAAAAGATTATTTCATCTTGACGTAATTCCACAGGAAACTAACACACACTCCCAGTTAATAAAATTGGTTGGTCACCTGGCATCAGATCAGCCAATATCTAAATTAAATTGCAATAGTCTGGTTTCAACCAGTAGAGGGCAGTCACTACGGATATTAATAACACAATATGTAGAATTCAAACACTTTGCAATAAGATGTCTAGAACACTACTAAATACGACTAACTAATTGGTTTTCAGATGAAAGAAATCTTTTGAGGGGGTTTAGTTACATTTTAAAGCCAATATAATAAGACAGAAAGAACAATACATGAAGGAATTTGAGTTTTTGTCTCACTCAAATTATATTCCTAGTATTTTATTTATTTAACCAGGATAGCTTAATTGAGATACAATTATTCTAGTAATGTATGTTTTTGAGGGTTTCTTTGTAAAGAAAGGCAGCAAAAACAATGAGTTACAAACAGCATTAGATAGATTAAACCAAATATTTCACAAAATAAAACAGAAATGTGATTCCAAAATCATGAAGGCGAATTTCTAATAGTCATGTGAATGATTTCATCCTAGAAACAGCATCAATGGTGCCTTAAAACAACCCAAGAGGTGTCTGACGATCATATTAAATAACTAAGGAGATAAAATCTACCAAAAATATGTTTAAACAGGATGTAAAAATATGAAAAAAATGAGCATGTTGCAACACTGTTTTTGTTTGCTAGTGAAAAATGTATTAAAGGTGTTGGTTTGGCTCGCATGAAGGTAACAGTTTGTTTCTTCCATTTACCTGAAGGGTCTAAGGGAAGAGGGTGTCCTATGCTGATTGTAAAGTCCTTGAGGCAAATCTGTAATTTGTGATATTAGGCTATATATATATATATAACTATTAACTATCGTTATCTGGGTTTGGAAATAGTGGCACAATTTGAGAAATGGCTTAAAATTCTTTGTTGTCATGCAGCAAAAGAGTCTTTGTGGATTCTGTCAAAGTGACATTTTTATATCTGACGCTTAGCTCTATGACTCAAATGCAGCGGTGGAAAGGTCCTGCATTCAGAATTTAAATAGATTTAAATCGATTAAAATACAAAAGCACAAGCGTCAAAAAAACATACTTAAAGTACCAAAAGTAATCATGATGCAGAATGGCTCATTTCAGAATAATGTATGTTGTATTATTGGATTATAATTATCGATGCATGAATGTATAGATTACTTGTGAATGTGGAGCTATTTTTTAAATTCTACAGCCTAAACTGCTGGCATTGTGAATTCCCAAGGAATCAATAAAGTCTTATCTTAACCTATAATAACATATCATAATTCATTTACTGATTATATTTTGTATTATTAGTCCCAATCTGCTAAGAAACTACAGAATATGCCTCTGAATAGTGGAGTAGAAGTATAAAGTAGGAGAAAATGAAAATAGCCTTTTCAAGTAAAGTTGAGTAAATGTACCTGTCCTCATGTGTAATGTTTAATGATGTGCACGAGCTGAGACAGAGAGAGGAGGAGTATACTCCGGTATTCTTAAATCCCCGTCTCCGGCCCTGCACTGAGCATCTTTAAAACATGCTTTTAATTTGTGTGAATCGAGAAAAACTGCCGGCTCACCTATGGTGGTAATCACAGTGATGGCGAAGTAAAAAGACCCGGCGAATTTCCACTGGACCCCCGCCTTGTGCGGTTTGAGATGCAGGACGACGAGCTCCAGCTCCTCGAAGTTCTCTTTGGTCAAGTTGTACTTGCGCATGAGCTCGTGCTTCCTGGCGTCGAGCCTCCGCTTGTGACCCTTCTCCTGCTTCGACTCCAGGGTCTCGAAGACGGCCGCTCCCACCACCAGGTAGGTGAGGATGCTGACGATGAGCGCGAGAGTCCTGGCGTTCTGTCTCTTCATGGTCATCAAAGAGTTGCAGGTACAGGTAGGTGGGTGGGTGGGGGTGTGTGAGGGAGGGGAGGAGGGGGGAAGACTCCTCTGCGACCTGCTCCTGATGGACTCCGGATCCAACAGAAGAGGGGGAATCTTTGGAGACGGAGCTGTTCTCTCAGCACCACCCACACATCACAGTTGGGTTGCTACTGTATTTGGACTATTTGTCACCGACTTATATTTAGATTCTGCAGAAAAGAAACACAAGGGGCAATCCCACACTGTCAGAGAGGTAGTGGCTCTAATCAACCGTTACACAAAAACAACCACACACTCACACACACATTGTTCTTACCTGAGGCCAAAATAAACAAGTTGACTCCTCAGCAGAGCCTCCAACGAGCTCCTAACGTCGATACATATACCTTGTGTGTGTGTGTGTGTGTGTGTGTGTGTGTGTGTGTGTGTGTGTGT